CCATGATCACCTGCAGTGTTTGAACACCTCCATCCATCTCTGTTCTCAAGCTGCTGCACAGCCCAGACATCCCCCAGAGCCACTGCCATATCTCAGCAGCTCAGGGTGGGTGCCAGTGCCCCCATCCTGATCCAGCCAGGCAGGGAGAAGAGGCTTTAAAAGACATTCTCTGTCCAAACCCAGGACAGAAATAGCCCTGCCAGGGCTCAGAGGTTTCGTTCAACTGTGGGGGCACATCCCAGGCTATCAGCAAGTGGTGTTATCAGATGGCTCCCTGCTTTCTGAGAGAGCAATAAATAGCATTGAGCCAGCCACCCTGCCGTCCCCAACACCAACATCTGCAGGTTGCTATCCCCTGGCTCCAGCTGAAGTGGGACACACCTTTGCCAAGCGCCAGCTTAGTTTTTTTCCTGGTGAACCAAGGGAGCATTTGCAAGCTCCAAAACCTCCACTGAACTGGGAGCTGCCCAAAGCAGCCCTGGCAGGGGGTATATTTTTAAGCAGAGGGTACCAGACCCTTCCCAGGGATCTGCAGATGCAGGAAGGGATGGCTGTGCCTTTCTTCTCACTTCTTCTGATCTGGCATAGATGACTTCCCTGCTTTCATGTTTCTTGGCATGAGGTTTCTTGCATAAGACCTGAGCTTCCTGCTAGGTTATGCATGATAGGATTTTTAAGCCCTGTCTGGAGCTGTACTCCATGGGGGTCTTCAGAGCCATGTGTGGAAGGCACTCCTCGGATGGATGAGCTGCAGAGGAGGTTGGTGCCCAGTGCTGGCTTGTACCTCTCTTGGGGCTTAGTCTGCTCTGTGGAGAAAACGTGTGACTTTCTAATACCACTGTGAGGGGTACAGGGTCAAGTTTTCCATTTGTTGCTTGAAACTGGGATGTTTTTCCTGCTCATCTTCTGTCTCCGGCCATCACATACTCTCCCCACCCTCCCACGAGTGTTTTGGATGAGAAGGTTTGGGCTGGGTCTGATCCTTCTCTTGGCTTCATGCTTCAATTCAAGCAGAGCACTGGCATGTCGGGACAGGACTCTCTCCGATGCAGCTCAGGGGTATTCCCAAGGGTCCCCAACTGCCTTTTTGGGGGAAGTAGCAGATGCTGACTAGGCTTAAGATGAAAACTGGAGTTTATTTATGCTGAGTTACAGCAGATGGGACCATGAGGCTTGTTCTCATTGAAACAGCGCAACCACCACACTGAAAAGGATGGAAAAACAGACTGTTTTTATCATGGGCTTGTTGATAGCACTAATCATTTCACAGCAGGGTTTACAGCATTTGGGAGAAGCCCAGGGGAAGATACTGGGATGTTTGTTCTTGGAGCCCAGAGCTTTGCTGGTGCTTGGGTTTAGCTACATGTGCCTTGTTTGTTGCCAGCCCTGCTGTGAATGTCACTTAGCAATTATCTGCCCTCTTTGGGGTTTAATGAGACCTCCAAGCTTTTTGATGAATAACTGGCTGAACTCTGAACAGCTTCTACCCTAAAAAACCCTGCTGGTCCAGCAGTAGCCAGGAGAATCTGGTGAATTCTCTGCACGTGTAGTCAAATAGTTTCATCCTTCATCCAGCACTGTCATGGGGTGTGGTGGGCTCAGGAGAATCAAGCTGTCCCATTCACTGAAGAGCAGCAAGCTGCAGCCGTGCTGGGTAGGTCTGGCAGCTCCCCATGTAGCCCCCACTGGGTGACACTGAGAGGGTTCACAAATAAGGGTCTCTCCAGTTCTCATCCTATCTAAGAGCCTCCATCAAGGGCTGCCTTCTTGTATGAGACTGCAAATGAGGGTGCAGCCCGAGTGCTGAGTGAGAAGCCTTCATCTGCAGGTGCCACGTGACCCCTGGCTTGGAGCTGCTCCAGCTGTGTCTGGGGAAACCCAGCAAGCCCAGGTGGAAGGGGTATCTGAGTCTGCTTTGCTAGGATCTCCCCAAAAATGAAACTGCCTTACTTGGGACTCGCTGCCCCAAATGCTCTATGTATTCCCAGTGCACACATGTCATGGGCAGCATCCAGAGGTTGAATGGCAGAGAGCCAGGGTGGCAAGGCTTGCAAAAATGTCTGGGAACTGGGAGGATCCTGTGCCATGCCAGTCTGAAATGCTCATCTGTTCTCAGGCTCCACAGTCCTCCCTGCCTCCTCCTCCTCCCCCTGGGGTTGGTTGCATGTCCCAGCAAGATGAGTCCAAGAATTCCTGGAAGAACTGAGAAGAAAATGGTCAGAGACCAAAGAGTTGTGCAGAGGGGTCACTGAGGTGAAATGAAAACCTTTTCTTTCAGAGAAAGCTCAGGACTTTCTGCTAGTGAACCATCACTGTGGCAAGTGTGTGGGTTCCACTGCAGTAGCAGGAGGAGGGGGTGGTGTCCACGTGGCTGTTTTTTGGAGTGATGGCCCAGAGCTCTAGGCCCAGCCTCCGGCTCCAAGAAGTGCAATGTAAGAAAGTTCAGTAGTTTTCCCCAAATTTTTGTAACAATTCAGGGACAAAATTCACTGGTTTTCTGCTGAAATAAATGTGTGACAGACTTTTTTGCAGCTAACCCTCAGTAGGCTGAATCCTGGTAGACGTGTGCTCAAACTCTCCAGGACATCAACCTCAGGACAATCAGAGGATCTGCGATGCCCACAAAAGTTGTCCCTCCAGTCACCTCCTCACCGCTGCCCTCCAGATATTTCCTGTGAGGAGGCAAATGAAGGATCCTCAAAATTACATCTTTTAACAGGCAATCAGGGATCCTCTCAGCAGGGAAGGTTGTTCGTCAACAGTCCTAGTGACACGACAAGGGGGAATGGCTGCTTCAGACAGGCAGAGGGCAGGGTTAGATGGGATATTGGGAAGAAATAACCTGTGAGGGTGGTGAGGCACTGGCACAGGTTGTCCAGAGTAGCTGTGGCTGCCCCATCCCTCTTAAGTGTTCAAGGCCAGGTTGGATAGGACTTGGAGCAACCTGGTCTAGTGGAAGGTGTCCCCTGCCCATGGCAAGGGGTGAAACAAGATGGACTTTAAGGTCCCTTCCAACCCAAAGCATTCTGTGATTCTGTAATTCTGTGATTCTCCAATTCTGTGATTCTCCATTTCTAGGTGGTCACTAAAGACCAAACGGGGCTTTGGAGGTACTGCATGGCTCCAGTGGGATGCTACCAGAGGACCACTACATTCCTGCAGCTCCCAATGCCATTTTTCCTGGGGAAATGGGAGTGATAGGGGCCCATGAGAGGGGAGCTCCTTGGAGGCAGCTCAGCCGTGGTATAGTCAAGTTTTGGAGCTCATTTATTCAACAGCTCCTTATAGCCTTCACTAATGGATGCTGCTAAGTGCAGAGATGTGACTGCTCCAGAGCTGTTATTTACAGCTCACTGCAGCTGACTTACACCATCTTCATCAGCAGGGCTGAGGGGAGAAGGAAAGCCTGGAAGGAGAGAAAAAAAAATCCATCCCTGCTTTTTCCCTCTGCTGTTACAACCCTGAGCCCATCCCAGACATGTGGTAGGCATAATATTTGCAAGGTGCTTGTCCTTCACAGTTTGGTGCACAGTCTTCACCAAGGGGTAACCCCTTGGGGTGGCACCTGAACCTCACTTCGATGCTGCTATTTGCTCAGCCATGTCACATGCTCACTTGATTCATCCAGATTTGAAGGGGTGGGAAGGGGAGAAAAGACTCCCAGCCATCAATCATCCTTGAGCTTTCCTGGACTGAGATTTGCAGTCCACGCCTCATGTAAAATTACTGCACCTTTCTCTGGCTGAGGTCATGTTGCACAGGTGCTGTAGGGTGAGCCCCTGGCTGGTATCAGCTTGGGAGAGCTTCAGATTTTGGTAAACTTAGTTTTACTATTGCAACAGTGAGTGTTCAACAGCCCCTTAACTTCTCTTGGCTCAATAACTCCCATTGTCTTATCTCAAGTCAGACCAAAGTGGCTGTAGATGAGAGCCCTGCAGCCATCCAGCAACCTCACCAGGGCTTTGGGGTGCCCTCCCCACCCAAATTCGCCAGTGGGCCCTGAGCTCCTACCCATTGCCATGGGATGCTGGTACCTAAGTGCCCTAAGCATGTTGGAGGCTGCAGAGGGATGATGTCCCATGGTGATGTCTGCAAAATAAACAGCTAAATTCTGGTGTGTCAAAAAAATAAGATAAAAATAAAGCAGAGAGTTATTCACACGTAGCAAAAAATAGAGCTGGTATGTGGTGCCTGTGTGCAATGTACTCCAGGAGCTGCAAAGGCACTAGCTGGGACTTTGGGACCAAGGGAAAGGTATTATTTTTAGTCAGGCTCAGTAAATCATTCCTCCAAAGTGTTTTTTTTCCCTTTCCTTTGTAACCTCATTTTTCCCTTTCCCCTTGCTAGCAGTAACATTGCACTAAGATTGTACACAAGGCCATAAGCAACATCTCTTCCTTCCTTGCTCCCAAACCAGAAGGCTCCTAAACATGTAGCCGGAACACGTACCCAGAGGTGAATTAAAGCGGCACTGTGCAGCCAGGGATGAATTTCCCTGTGCCCTTCTCTGTGCTCATTGGAGATGGATATTTGTTCCCCAGTGTGGCACTGTGCAGGTGATTTTTAAGGGATCTTTTGCTTGGCAGCCGTAGGGTTATTTCCCACCTTTCCCAATGCCCTTACTTGTTTTGTAAACCAAAATCCTGGGCATTTTAAGTCCAAATGTGCGTCAAGCGATCAGCAGGGAATAAGTCTGCGTCCTTACTTATTTATGACTTACTTGGCATGTCTTGGGTAATTGATTTGTTAGGGTCAGGCACTTGGAAGGGTGATGGAGACTGATGCTGCAGGGTCAGAGGGGTGCGAGTAGGGACATAAACCTCTGAGCAGGAGTTTTTGAAGCAGCTGGTTGAGAGCAGAATTGCTTTGATGCCAGCTTTGCTTTGCTAGGTGCCCTCTGTGTGAAAAGCTGTGGCTCTGTGGTGGGGCCAGGGGCTGTGGTTGTGCCATGACCCAGCACAGCAGAGCCTGACCCTGCTTGTCCCTTGCCTGTCTTGCAGCCCAGCACTTCATCGCGGCGACGGCGTGCCAGGAGGCAGACTACGGCTGGATGATCCGGCACTACTGCCTGAAGCAGTTCCAGCTCAGCATGGAGGGCATCGGGCAGCGGCTCTGGTGCGACTGGGATGAGACTGTGGGGTAAGTGAGGTCCCTCTGCTCATCCCTCTTGTCCTGACCACCTGCACCTGTCTTGGATTTTGGGGTGTAAGGAGGTCAGCGCTGGTTTTGTTTCATGGCGGGGTGGGAAACAATGTGCCTGTTCACTCCGCTTTGCTGCTGGTGCTGCCCTGACTCTGTCCCTGCTGGGTCCAGCTGAAGGGGCTTCTTGATCCTGGTCACTTGTGGAGGGGTCACAAGGCAGGCTTGGAGGAGAAAGCAGTGGACATTGTCTGTCTGGACTTCAGTGAGGCTTTTGGCACCATTTCCCATAAGATCCCCACAGACAAGTGTGGGCTGGATGAGCAGACAGTGAGGTGGGTTGGAAACTGTCAGAACAACCAGGCCCAGAGGGTGTCAAACATTGGACAAAGACTAGTTGGAGGCCAGCAACTAGTGGTGTAACACAGGGGTCAGTGCTGTCCTGCTTAACCTCTTCATGAATTGTGTGGGTGATGGGACTGAAGGTACTCTCAACAAATTTTCAAATGGTGCCAAACTGAGAGGGGTGGATGACACACCAGAGGGTTGTGTTGCTGTCCAGAGGGACTTCTAACAGGGTGCAGAAATGGGCTGATAGGAACCTCCTGAAGTTCAGCAAGGGGAAGGATGAAGTCCTTCACCTGAGGAGAAACAGCCCCAGGCAGCAGGATGTGCTGGGGCTGTCCAGATAGAAAGCAGCGTGGCAGTAAAGGACCTGGGGGTCCTGGTGGGCACCAGGTTGAACATGAACCAGACAAATGTCCTTGTGGCAAAGAAGGTGAATGGCACAAACTGGGGCACAGGAGGTTCTCTCTGAACACCAGGAAATGCTTTTTCACTGTGAGGATAACCAAGCACTGGCATAGATCGCCCAGGAATGATGCGGAATCTCCATCCTTGCTGATATTAAAGAAACATCTGGACATGGTCATCAGCAATAGCTGTAGGTGGCCCTGCTTGAGCAGGGGCACTTGGACGAGATGAAGTGGATCTCCAGAGGTGGTCTATAACCTCGGCCATTCTGTGATGAAAGAGGATGCAAGGAGCCCAGCCTAAGCAGTGCTTGGAAGTCAGGATGGCAG